TACTTTATATTCGTCAAATATTTGCATTGTATTCCCTTTGTTATTTTCTTTTACCTTCAATTTATTTCCAGAATTATAAAATGTGGAATATATGAATGCATGCACAGATGTGTATTTAACATATATCCACAAGAATGGCATCCTGCAATAATCATTGCTTTAAATAAGGCCAGACCTTTATTATGAAACGTTTTCGTATTACATTTTCAGTAGTTTGATATTTTATATTTCCCCCTTCATATTTACAGATAAATCATAGAATATTTCATAATTCGAATAATTCATATATTCACAACACAACAGTATGTAAATATTCATTTCAATTTTAATCAGAGGGGTCTTATTCTCATTAAAAGAAAACAAAACAAACAAAATATTTCGAACAAATAAATTGTAAGAATTTTGTAACATTGACCTGCTATGAACGAATTACACATTGCAACAGTTTCCATGTGCCACAGTAGCAGCAACAACAATAACAACTAAACACAAGATGTGTACCTTATGCATAAATATTCAGATACACCACACGCACAACCGTACGTGCATACGTTTACTCAGTTCCATGCCCATAAAAATGAATATGTAGGCACACACACACACGCCAGCTCACACACAATGAGCGGGTTAGAATATTATGTTGTTGCATTAACACCAAGTAAATCCTAAATTTAGATCGATGATGCATCGGAGACACTGTCTGCCTGAGAGAGAGTCGGTGCATGCATGCATCGACTGCTTAACACTACGTGATGTCTCGGTACAGAAATAGCAGCGGTAGTCGGTTAAATGCGTGTGCACTGCTAAGTCAACGACCTAAGTGGGCATCATCACCAAAGGAGTGGTACATTATTTTGTTGTTGTTGTTGCTGGTGTTGTTTTCTTCATGTTTTCGTTACAAGTAAACATACGTTTCACTATGTTCGATGAAAATTCCAATCTCAGCATGCAATGATTTTCTTGAATCATCATCAAATATTTAGTTTTTTTCTGCTCTTATTTTGGCTTGCAATGAAACAAAAGAGATGCCATTTAAATTTAGAAAATATTTCCAATCCATTTCGAAAATTATCTCTTCTGGTTGGAATGAAAATATAAACAAAGGTATGGGGTACGAGGCGATGCAGTAGTCGTTGGCAAAAGCATTGAATGGGTGTGTGTGTGCTTTATGGAATACAATTATAGTTGGCGTATGTGTTTTTTATTCCCGTATTATTATTGATGTTAGTGTTTGGGGATGATATTGTAGATTAGTTTCATCTACTCCAAAGGCTAATTATAAATAAGTTCGATAGTGTTCCCATAGGTGGAAATTGTTGTAATATTAAAGGGTAAATTTGGAAACAAGTATTCTTATTGGAAAATATGTCAAACTCCTGTTGTTGAATTTTTGTAAATACTAAAGGTAGTCTTAGTTATATTATTGTAATTATCAAGATAAATTAGTATCATTATACCACGTTTTTGATACATTGTCTCCTCCCTCCCAGAAATTATTAATATTTATTTTATAAATGAATACGCTGAAATTTGGTACATTGGGTTCTTATTGGTTAGCAAATTACTCCACTAAAAGTTATAAATAAAGGTCCACTTTTTCTGGTAGTCCCCATATAACGGCACGCCCAAATTTTCCGAATTGGCTGCAATTTAGTACTTTGTGTTCTTCTTGGGTAGCAAATCTCTCCACTAAAAATTTTAAATATAGGTCAATTTTTTCGGGTCCCCATATATGTTACCCCCAATATTCGTAATTTAGGGTCCTTGAACGCGTTTTTTAACCAATTTCTTTGTAATTTGGTTTTTTGTAGTCGTATATGGTAACAAATCTCCCTCCCAAAAATGATTTATATTCGCCCCCTTTTAGGAGTAACCCCCGTATAACCCCCTTTTTATACCCTACACAACTCTATGGTACAGGGTATTATGTCTTTGTGCATATGTTTGTAACAGGCAAAAGGAAACGAGTTAGACACATGGTTCCTTTTGAGAATATGCATATAATCATTTTCTGATTCGATTTACGCATGTCCGTCTGTCCGTCCGTCCTTCTGTCCGTCCATGTATTTTTGTTAACAAAGTACAGGTCGCATTTATGATCCGATTTGGAAGAAATTTGGCACAGTTCACGTATTTGGCCCAAAACTGAGCCTAGAATGATGTCTGCCAAGTTTCGTGAAAATAGGTCCAGATTTAGATATAGCTCCCATATATAGTTTCGTCCGATTTAACGTAAATGGGTCACCAAAGTCCTTATATATCTTTCGATTTGAGCCGAGAGTGATGTCTGCCATGTTTTGAGAAAATCGGTCCAGATTTAGATATAGCTCCCATATATAGTTTCGTCGGATTTCATGTAAATGGTGCACACAAGTCCATATATATCCTTCGATTTGCACCAAATTTGGCATAACGTACTGAATTGAGCCGAGAGTGATGTCTGCCATGTTTTGAGAAAATCGGTCCAGATTTAGATATAGCTCCCATATATAGTTTCGTCGGATTTCATGTAAATGGTGCACAGAAGTCCATATATATCCTTCAATTTGCATGAAATTTGGCATAACGTACTGAATTGAGCCTGAGTTTCGAGTGACTACCATATATAGTTTCTGATTTAATGTAAATGGGTCACCAAAGTTATATATATTTCGATTTGAAAATTTGGCATAACGTACTGATTTAGATATAGCGTGAAAATCGGTCTAGATATAGCTCCCATATATAGTTTCGTCCGATTTCATGTAAATGATGCACCAAAGTCCCAATATATCCTTCGATTTGCATGAAATTTGGCATAACGTACTGAATTGAGCCCAGAATGATGTGTGTAAGTTTCGAAAAATTTATTTAGATATAGCTCCCATATATAGTTTCGTCCGATTTCATGCAAATGGGTCACCAGAGTCCATATATATCTTTCGATTTGCACGAAATTTGGCATAACGTACTGAATTGAGCCTAGAATGATGTGTGTAAAATTTCTTGAATATCGGTCCAGATTTAGATATAGCTCCCATATATAGTTTCGTCCGATTTTATGTAAATGGTGCACCAAAGTCCCAATATATCCTTCGATTTGCATGAAATTTGGCATAACGTACTGAATAGAGACTGGAATGATGTCTGCCAAGTTTCGTGAAAATCGGTCCAGATTTACATATAGGTCCATATATATTTTCGTACGATTTAATGTAAATGGCGCACAAAAGTCCACATATATATTTCGATTGGCACGAAATTTGGCATAGCGTACTGAATTGAGCCTAGAATGACGTCTGCCAAGTTTCGTGAAAATCGTTCCGGATTTAGATATAGCTCCCATATATAGTTTCATCCGATTGTACAAAATTTGGCATAGCGTATTGAATTTAGTCCAAAATGATGTGTTCCAAGTTTCTTGAAAATCGGTTGAGATTTAGATATAGCTCTGTTATATTATAGATTGATTTTAAGTTATTGACGCAACGAGGATAGGAACAAAACGTACTGAAATTAGTATACAGTAACCTTCAAGTTTCCTTGAAATCGGTTGATATTTGGATATAGCTTCCATAATATATTTTCGCCCAATTTTAAGTAAATTGGGCATCAAACTCCTCATGTTAGTCAGATTGACATCAAATTTTGCACAACGTACAACATTGAGTATAGAATTACGTAGTTGCATTTTCTAGAAGAACAGACATAGCCGAACGGATGACATATTGATATTTGTTTGGAGTCATGACATGTTTATGGATAGATCTAGGTAGATTCACATTTAGATAGATATCACATATTTTATTTCATCCAATTTCTTGTTAATAGTCCTGTTTAATATACCCATAGTGGTGAAGGGTATCATATAATGCACTTTACAACTTTCCTTACTGTTTTTTTTTTTTTTTTTTTTTTTTGCAATGAAGATTTTCATATTGAACCAGCAGCTTCCTCCCAACCTCCCGAAATAAAACCTGTGTACGTTGGTAATGGCCTTGCATAACTGTAACCTCAAAATTGCAGTATGTTGGGGATGTTGTCGTCAATATCGGTCCACTTATTGGGGTTTTTAGAAAAAATATCCATTAAAAATTGCAGAAATTTTAGTTAAGAAAATTTAGTTATTTAAGATTATTCCTAATTATTACAATAAATTTATTGGTTTGAACACATTTCCTTTTTTTAATGTCATCATCAAGATTAAGTATTTGCTTATTTCAATTAAATTAACCTTGGCATCCCTGTATGGAATGAGAAAATTTTGAAAAATTGAGATCCCCCATAGATAATGAGAACACTTTCCATTGGGGAGAAACACCAAAAACCGACAACTAAATGCTCAGTAAATTTACTTTGCAGACCGGCAGATCGACCAACGCATAGCTACAACATCACCTCCCAATTGGAATAGGTGTGTATATTCAGGGGTATGTGTGCGTGTGTGTACGAGTTTTTCTTTTCGTGCTTCGTTTGTTTGTTGTGCTGTGAGAGAACATTTCCACGATGTGTTGTTGTTCTTGCACATCAAATTGTTTGTGTGGGTATGTTTTTGGGTCCAATTGGAAAATGCACCGGTTTCTCGTTATTTGTTTTTTTTTCTCTATATAGACTACCATATATATTTATACACAAAGAAATAAAATCGAAATGGGAAATTTTGTATACGTGCCGGATGGTGTTTTGGGATAAAAATTTTCATAATGAAAGAAACATTTTTGTGAAAATACGTTCAGTTCGGGAGTAAACGGCGGCAAGTGAAGATCTCTAAACAGCAAGGAAGCCGAACCAAGCAAAATAGTGTGTTAATAGAAGGAATGAAAGTGTGTGTATGTGTATAGAGAAAGTGTTAAGATCTCTATATATAGATTGAGATATATGTGTATATATATGAAATTATATTGACTGAAAATAATAGATACATACCGTTAAAATACTGAGAAATTTCAGCCCGAAAAAAATTTTAAAGATACACATATGATTTGAAAAAAATCAAGTAAATTAACACAAGAAATAAATAAAGAAAATACCGAACGAGAAATATAACAATGGCGGATGTACCGGAACCTGTTAAAAAATGTGCCCTTATGCTAAAGGCCACCAAAAGTGACTCGGAGAAATTTGCTGCCTTGTTCATGGTCACGAAATTGGTGAAGGGCAAAGATTGCAATGCTGCTGCCAAGAAATTGCTGTTCGAAGCCATTGGTTTTGATTTTATGAAAAAATTGTTGAATGGTAAAAATCTGCCCAACGATTGCCCACCCTTGGTGTACAAGAGTGTGGCCTTGTCCATACTCACGTGTTTCTGTCAGGAGGAGGAATTGGCCACCCACAAGGATTTACTGGATGTTATACCCACCTTGTTGGAAATTGTCGAACAAGCTGATGATGATGATTGTGATGACAATTTGATTGTGGTGAGTGAAGCCTATAGCTGCTTGAAACTCATTGCCGAGCATGAACCTGGACAAAATGCCCTGATGAACATGAGTGCCATTCCCAAGATGTCTCAAATCTATTCGGCCCAAAGCTTCCAAACTGATGAAGCTTTGCAACTGATTGTTTTGTTGGTGAAGAAATTCGGTAAGGCCTCTTGGACTGACGATCCCAAGCCTTTCCATGCTTTGGTTCAACGCATCGCCTTGGATATGGAAACCGAACACAGTGAAAGAAAATATGATTTGTGCAAGATCTTGTCGGCCATTTTGAAGACCTGCAAGAGGGAGATTATTTACAATTCCTTGGAGGGAGAAATTTGGCCAGAGAGTTTATTCAAGGGCTGCAGTGATATTTTGAAGAGTAAAATTGGCCCCAAGCAACGTGACCCCACGTTGCATTTGATTGCCACCACCCTGCAAGTTTTGGGTATCCAATGGGCCTTCATGTGCGATGAGAAACAATTCTATTTGTTGATCCTGCAAATGGCTGCCATTGAAGTAAGAATGCAAATGGATGAAAAGAAATTGGAAGCCACCATCCGTAATGCCCCGCTCATTCAAGCCTGCTTCATTATTTTGGAACACTGCATCGAATATATGTCCAAGGATCAATTGGATTTGGATTCCAAGGAGAAGCAAACCACTTATTCAGCCTTGAAATATGCCTTTAATCAAGTATTGGCCGTATTGACTCGTGTGTCCAATGATAAGGTTAAGGATAGTAGCAATCCCAAGGACCGAGAGTTCATTAAGGCCACGGTGCGTGTATTATCTGCCTGGTTGGCCCAGGAGACCACTGCCATGAGACCGGCCATCTATAAGCTTTTGCCATTCATGTTCAAGGTGACCAATGATTCCTTTAATGAATTGAAGGAATGGCGTGCTGGACCCAAAGATACAGAGGCGCCAGTGGATATTCTGCGTGTTATGTTGCCTGCCCTCTGCCATTTGGTTGTAGAAGATGAAGCCCGCAAGGTGATATTTGCCACCAAACAGGATGAGGTATTTTTGCAACAAATTGAATTCTACTTTAGCATTGCCCACTATAAGCGGCCACCCATTCCTCGTGCCGAACGTTTGAAACGTATGAATGAACCCGACCCAGTACCCACTCCCGAGCAATTGGCTGACATGAAATCGGCCAGAGCTGCCATATGCTCCCTGTGCAATATTCTAATGAATCTCACGGTTTTGGAACCCAAACTGGCGGAGGATGGCCCCGTATTCGCCAACATGTTTAAATTTGTCTACGAACATTTGCCCGAACTCAAGGACACACCCGACAACTTGCTGATGCATGGCAATTTGGCCGTTTTGGGTTTGCTGTTGTTGAAACAACAATCCAAGAAGGTGAAACAAAACGATTTCTCCATTTGTCGTTACATTCAGGCCACCATTCGTTTCCTTTGGGATGCCTACAACATTGATGAGTCCAATGATCCCACAGCCTTGGTAGTGTCGATTGCCTACAAGGAGCACTGGATGGAATTGCAAGAATTGTGGTTCTTGGGTATGCAAACCATGTGTGGAGTGCTGCCATTGGTGCCCTGGATTTCGGAATTTGCTATTGAGTCCGGCTGGGCCGAGGGTATTGTACAGACTTTGAAGCGAGTTAAGATTGGTACCCTACCTGCCAATGTTAAGTGTGCCTATGAAGATTTCCTCTCGCAACTGGTTGATGTAAATTCCACCGTGGCTGCTGTTTTGAAAAAGGCTGATGCTTTGAGGGTGTGTCGTAATCATCGTATGATGGAATTGGGCAAGAGATTGTTTGGCGATTAAGCAGAACCACACACGCATATGTGGAAAGCAGTTTTCTAAATCTCTCTCAAATCTTAAATTTAAGTTTAATATGTTTTTTTATTAAAAAAGAAAAAAATCCATTTTTTATTAAAAACAAATATAAAAAATATGTTTTGTCTCTTTTACATTTAAAATAACATTATTGTTTAATCAATAACAACAACTACACAAAACCCCATGAAAGTTTTTATATAAAATAAAAAAAATAAATAAATCACAAAAAAATGTATCCAAACAACTATGCATTGGAGGAGGCTATAATGGTGGTGAATGTGTGCATGTGTTTGTGTGTGTGGGGTGTTGGCTATAAGTATTAGCAATCGCATCGGCCTCATCATCAGCATCATCACCATTGTAGCCGTCGTCGTCATGTTTATTTTCAAGAGTTTTGTTTTGTTGCTGCTGTACATGGACTTGGGCAGCTGTTATATATACACACACAAACAACGCTACATATATGGGGAAAAACAACGCCTACACGGCTCTTGTTCATTTATTTAAATATTGTTGAACGGATGACATGTTTTTTTTTCTGTTGTCGCTGTTGCTTTCTTTTTGCACAAAGAAGTTAGACTTTCTCCACAAAATCAATGTAGTTGGTTGGAAATGTCGTAGGAAAAAACTAATATAAATTAATACAGTGAAACCTGCCTATATTAAATGTATAAAAATTATATAGGAAGCTCACCTATAACCACACTTATGTTACTTCACACGAACATGCCCACAGTCCCAAACTCTCTCTCTCTCTCTCTTGTAATAGTTCTCCAATAATACTGACATTTTATTGGTTCCACAGTTTATTCATTGAAATTGTTGTCCTTCATTGGAAAAAAAGAGCTGAAATGCTTTGTTATCACCAGAGTGTCGTTTAGCAAAAAAAAAAAAAAAAAAAAAAAACAATAAAACATTATTCATTCATTTATTATTATTTTTATATTATATGCGTTGTTGTATTTTTTCTTTAAATGTTAATACCAAAAAAATATATTTTATTTACGTCTAAATATGCCATTGGGCCATTCATTTGCTTATTTGTCTTAATTCATACTTTCACTGCAAACAAAAATTTGTATTTCTTGGTTTTTTATTTAAAAATAGCCAATGATGAAGACTATCGTGAACGTGTTGCATGTGTTCGGAATTTATCTTATTTTGTAGTCAAATGAAAAGAAACAAATATGTTATATTAAAAACATCTGTCAATAGTTGTGTGGTTATAAAAAAATCATATTAAATAGACGATAGCTGTCGGTTGCACTTTGAAAATCTATTAATGAAAATTAATCATATTTACCGTAAGGGAATTGTGTGTCGTGGGAGAGGAGGTGGTTTTTAAATTGTGGTAAGAGGGTGTGTAACAACAGACGGCACCGACTATGTGATACCCTTCAACTCTTTGGATACATACAAGAGATGCTCATGTGTCCAATATCCTTGTAGGTCCATTAAAATGGTATCGGGCAAAATTAAATGTGTGATCTACATAGATATTTGAACCAATGAAAACCCATACACATACCATTAATAGCCAGTAAGGAAAGCAGTAAAGTCGGACTGGGCCAACTATATGATACCCTTCACCACTTTGGGTATATTGTACTTATGTATCCCCTCCAAGGAACATACGCAAGTCTTTCTGCAACCTATGATAAATTTAATTTCATTCGGGCAGATTTAATGTCGACTTCGTACCATGGGACAAATATATGAAAAACAACTTATAGCAAAATTAATACACGCTATTTGGTCGCCGCACTGTTAAAATTTTAATTTCATTCAGACATCCATTCGAAATACATATGGAAGCTATGACAGCGTCTACATCAATTTCAATAAAACGCAATAACGTTATTCAAGTCTCAACTTGATACGTTGTGCAAAAAATCGTGTTAATCGGACAAACATTAGAAGGTTGGTGCACCATTTATGTAAAATTGGACGAATATATATGTATATGTGGGAGCTATATTCAGTACTCTATGCCAAATTTCAGTACTCTATGCCAAATTTCGTGCAAATCCATTGATATATAGGGACTTTGGTGCACCATTTACTTTGAATCGGATGAAACTATATATAGGAGCTATATCTAAACCTAAACCGATTTTCTCGAGACTAGGCACACATCATTCTGGACCTAATTCTGTACTCTATGCCAAATTTCGTGTAAATCGAATGATATATATGGACTTTGGTGCACCATTTACTTTAAATCCGACGAAACTATATATGGGAGCTATATCTAAATCTGAACCGATTTTCTCGAAATTTCGCACACATCATTTTGGACCTAATTCAGTACTCTATGCCAAATTTCGTGCAAATCGAATGACATATAGGGACTTTGGTGCACCATTTACCTTAAATCGGACGAACCTATATATGGGAGCTATATCTAATTCTGAACCGATTTTCTCGAAACTTGGCACACATCGTTCTGAACCTAATACAGTACTTTATGCCAAATTTCATGCAAATCGAAGGATATAGAGGGACTTTGGTGCCCCATTTAGCTTAAATCGGACGAACCTATAAATGAGAGCTATATCTAAATCTTTACCGATTTTCTCGAAACTTGGCACACAGCGCTCTGCACCTAACTCAGTACTCTATGCCAAATTTCATGCAAATCGAAGGATATAGAGGGACTTTGGTGCCCCATTTACCTTAAATTGGACGAAAATATATATGGGATCTATATCTTAATCTGAACCGATTTTTCCCAATTTCAATAGGGTTCGTCTTTGGGTCAAATAAGTGAGCTGTGCCAAATTTCATCCAAATCGGATCATAAATGCGACCTGTACTTTGTTTACAATTTAACATGGACAGACAGACGGACGGACGGACATGCATACATTAACACAAGTAATCTATCAAAAATTGATGTATTTAATTTGAGTAATTTCAGGGATTTATATTTAATATTTCCTTCTCTATTGTGATTTTGACAGGACAAGGGACATAGCTACATGGATAGGATTTGAACATGTTTGCATTCATTCTTAACTAAGTCACTACTTTAATTCTAGCATCTTTTAAGCTCAGACCAACAACAAAATTTAAAAAGTTATAAATATTTCAATAATTATGGGATCACAATATTGTCTTCATCATTCGCACCTAAAAATTTACATGGATGACTATGATTTTATACGGATGACTAATAAATTGTGAACAAATACATTATCCAAGGTCACATTTGACAAAGATTGTTCACCTAAGTTAATTTATTTAACACAACCTAGGATACCGCAGAAAATCATTCATCCCTAAAGTGGCAACAAAAAGTAGGGGTGGTGTCTAAGCCAAAAATTTTCAAATATTTAAAAAAAAAAACATGTTTAAAATGTACAGGTGTGGCCAACATAGATTGGTTCACTGGGCCAAAAAATCATTTAAACTGTTTTTTTTAATTTGATAACAAAACATACAAAATTGTTATACAACAATTTATATTTACAAAAAATCCAACAAATTAATATTTTCCAAACGAAAATTCGGAAATGAAAAACCACAATTATTTTAATTACAATCTCAAGGATTTCCATCTGAAAAATAAAATAATTTCTTTATAGCTTTGTTGTTGACATCAATGTTATGGGCAGAATAATAAAAAACTTATTTCTGATATAAAATGTGCGAATGTCATTATAAATACACAAAGTAAACAGTTTTGTAATTCATTTTGTTATTTTTGTTATTACTTATGTCATAAGAGATATATATATATATATAAACCAGTAAGGAAAGTAGTAAAGTCGGACGGGGCCGACTATATTATACCCTTCACCACTTTGAGTATATTCAACAGATGGAATCCTAACAGACGTCGCATTTTTGAAAGACCATTAAAATGAAACTAAACATGTCATTCTGCAACCTATACTAATTTTTGGTCAGATATAGAGTTGCTTCTTAAAATGGGACAAAATTATATAAATAATTTTAAAGCAAAATATCGAAATCTAAACCGATTTCATCGAAATTTGACACATGTTAGGTAACACTTATATCAGTATGTTTCGAGCATTCGGCACTATTTTGAGTTCTTCATTTACTTACCATTTACATAAAATTGGACGAAAATATATAAAATATATTTTTTACAGACGGACGGACGGACATGCATACATTAACACAAGTAATCTATCAAAAATTGATGTATTTAATTTGAGTAATTTCAGGGATTTATATTTAATATTTCCTTCTCTATTGTGATTTTGACAGGCAAACGGACATAGCTACATGGATAGGATTTGAACATGTTTACATTCATTCTTAACTAAGTAACTACTATAATTCTAGCATCTTTTAAGCTCAGACCAACAACAAAATTTAAAAAGTTATAAATATTTCATTAATTATGGGATCACAATATTGTCTTCATCATTCGCACCTAAAAATTTACATGGATGACTATGATTTTATACGGATGACTAATAAATTGTGAACAAATACATTATCCAAGGTCACATTTGACAAAGATTGTTCACCTAAGTTAATTTATTTAACACAACCTAGGATACCGCAGAAAATCATTCATCCCTAAAGTGGCAACAAAAAGTAGGGGTGGTGTCTAAGCCAAAAATTTTCAAATATTTAAAAAAAAAAACATGTTTAAAATGTACAGGTGTGGCCAACATAGATTGGTTCACTGGGCCAAAAAATCATTTAAACTGTTTTTTTTAATTTGACAACAAAACATACAAAATTGTTATACAACAATTTATATTTACAAAAAATCCAACAAATTAATATTTTCCAAACGAAAATTCGGAAATGAAAAACCACAATTATTTTAATTACAATCTCAAGGATTTCCATCTGAAAAATAAAATAATTTCTTTATAGCTTTGTTGTTGACATCAATGTTATGGGCAGAATAATAAAAAACTTATTTCTGATATAAAATGTGCGAATGTCATTATAAATACACAAAGTAAACAGTTTTGTAATTCATTTTGTTATTTTTGTTATTACTT